AGTATCCAGACTCCAAAATACTTCATTTCTTTTTAAAAAAAAAATGTTTGAGAATGTCATTTGTGCATATATTGATCAAATCCATCCCCTCTATCCCTTCCCTCCAATTCCTCCACTATTCTCTTCTGATTTCATGTGCCTTTTTCTTTTAAACCCTCCAAGTCAACTTAGTGCTGCATGCATGAGGGTAGGGCCATGTACTGAAGTATGAGGATGTATCCCTGAAGAAAACATCACCTGAAGAAAATTCAGCCGGCCAGCAGTGGCACACGCCTTTAATCCCAGCACTAGGGAGGCAGAGCCTGGTGGATCTCTGTGAGTTTGAGGCCAGCCTGGTCTACAGAGCGAGATCCAGGACAGGCACCAAAACTACACAGAGAAACCCTGTCTCAAAAAAAACAAAACAAAAAAGAAAACTCACTTTCCCCTCTTCTGACAGCCATCAGTTGCCAATGTCATTTGCTTATTTCAAAGTGGTACATTTTTCTTTTTTCTTTTTTCAATTTAACTTTTATTTTATGTGCATTGGTGTGAAGGCATCAGATCTGCTGGAGCAGGCAGTTGTGAGCTGCCATGTGGGTGCCGGGAATTGAACCTGGTCCTTTGGAAGAGCAGTCAGTGCTCTCAACCGCTGAGTCACCTCTCCAGCCCCAGGTGCATTTGTCTTTACACAAGCCAGAGGAGCCAGGGCTTACTGGAGGAGAGATTCTGGTGATTGGCAGGTCTCCCGTAATTCTGGTCCAGTTAATAACCCATTTAGTGATATTTTGTCTGCCATATGTTGTTGTATTCAGCAGAGTACTAGGTTGAATAAATTTGAAAATAATGAGTCATAACCCTTGCTCACAAGTTACTTAAAACGTCATTATGGAACAAGGCATATATGGAACTACTGGTCAAATTTAGTAAACTACAAAATTGTGACTACCCTTAGAAAATAGGGCCATATAGAGGGCTGAAGAGATAGCTCAGTGGTTAAGAGCATCGGCTGCACTTCCAGAGGACCCAGGTTCAATTCCCAGCACACACGTGGCAGCTCAAACTGTCTATAACCCCAGTTCTGAGGGATCTGACACCTTCTCACTAATGCACATAAAACAAACAAACAAAAAAAAAACTTAAATAAGAAAATTTAAAAAAAGAAAAGAAAAGAAAACAGGACCATATAAACAGAGGCAACCAGCCCTCATTTGCAGATTCTGCCTTTGCAAACTGCCTAGTCCCCCAAACCTACCTATGGTGCACAAACCAATCCTTAGTGTTTTTACAGCTTTTTCCCAACAAGGAGCAGGGCAGAATTTAGTTGCCTCGTGTGCTTGTTCCTAGCCAAGGCTGAGCAAGGTACACTCTGCCCTCTTGAGTTTTCAGATCTTAAGAAAGTCACCTTTCCACGGCCTACTTAGTGTCACTTTTTCACACTTGACTGATTTTGCTGTTAAAAATGGTCCCCAAGCATATTGCTGTGAAATTCTGAAATGACAAAGGAAATGATGTAATATATAGAGAAAATATATGTACTAAATAACCTTCATTTAGGTACGAAATAACTGTTTGGCTGGAATCTCCAGCTCACCCCTGCTTGATCCAGCCATCCCTCCCTCTCCAAACTCCGCCCTCTCAGAAAAACCCGCTAAGGGGTGGCTCCTCCTCTGAGGCTGCCAGCTCCCCCAGTCCCCACCCAAAGCTTATAATTGGTCACAAACCCAGTTTGTGGAGGACCCATCATCACCCCCACACCTACAGGGTATTTAAGCCCCCTCCTTTAGAATGGCCATGTGATTTCTCTCCTGCCCCCGTACCTACCCTGATCTCTAGGGGCTGGAGGACTCACCCAGGAGTTGCTTTGTTCAAATATACCTGGTCTTTTACTTTTTAATTTGGCTTGATCTGGCTTACTGCCTCAGCAGGGAAACCTATTATCAGGGTACAGAAAACCTACCAGCAACAAGGAACATGCATAAAACAAGATATATACTGGTTGATGAAAATATGATCAGAAGCCAAGTGTGGCCGGCTGCACATGCCATGCCTGTAATCCCAGCACCCGGACATCGGATGTGAGATGAGTTTAGGCCAGCTTGGATTACCTAGCAAGATTTTTGTCTCAGAACAGTCGAGTGTGTGCATGTGTGAAATCACAATCGACTTTCCTCATAATTCACTAATTCAGCATTCCTGGCATGTTTATACAATTTAACTACTGCAGATAAAGAGAATCAACTATACACAGAAAGTACAGTATTTCTCAAAATTAACATAAGGAAAAAACAAAAACCAGAACTTCCTAAGAAACCACTACACAGGTCTACTAACGAACCTCTGCAGACAGCAACCCTGGCCCCTGGTGCTCTCTGCCTTTGGCCTCCTTATGGCTTTCCTGCGTCCTCTCTCCATTTAAGTTACGTTTCCCAAGAACCCAGACCCCTGCGCTATAAGTCACAGACACGGATAATCAATACACTAACGTACAAATGGGTTCTCCTGTTAAAGCCTAAGTTAACCTATAACCTCACCTGCTCAAAGTTTCAGGCAGCTTTCTGGGATTCTCAGAGTTGTAGTTCTTAAAGAAATAGCCAAGTCTCAGGAGAAAGTATGGTAGCCTATGAGTTTTGTCCATAAAAGCCCCCACAACAGGTATCTTGGGGCCACTCAGCTGGAAAGTTCAGGGAGTGGTCCTGACCAATTTCCATCTTGGTCAGTATTTAACCTTTAGTAAAAGCTTCGTTTAAATATGGCCAAAAATGGTGGAACTAGTTTTTCTCCAGCGAATCTCAGGATTAACACTTAAAATGTATTTCTACAAACTCAGGCTGCAGTTGAAGGAAACTGAATTGGAGCAGCCATCCAAGCCAGATGCGCTCACCCATTACAGAAGCGGCCCCCTTTCCTCCAGGGCGAGGGCGGGAGGTGCACTGAGTGTCCTAATCAGCTAGGCTGGGTCTCAGAAAGGGTTAAGTGACAACCAGTTTTGATTCATTCCATTTTCCCCTCAGTCACACACTTAACAGGATCTGGAGGATCTGCCAGGTCTAAGAGGAGGCAGAACCGGCCCTGTCACCCTGTCATGTATGGGGGTGATTCACCAAAAAGGAAATTACAGGGGCTGGAGAGATCGCTCAGTGGTTAAGAGCACTGGCTGTTCTTCCAGGGGTCCTGAGTTCAATTCCCAGCAACCACATGGTGGCTCACAACCATCCGTAATGAGATCTGGTGCCCTCTTCTGGCCTGCAGGCATACAGGCAGGCAGAACACTGTATACATAATAAATAAATAAATAAATCTTTAAAAAAAAAAAAAAGGGAAATTACAGAATTAAATGTGTCCAGGAGAGAGGAGGTGAGAGTGGGGGCGAGGAGAGACAGAGAGAAGAAAGAGACAGAGAGACAAAGGTGAGGAGAGAGAGAGAGAGAGAGAGAGAGAGAGAGAGAGAGAGAGAGAGAGAGAGAGGAGAGAGCAGAAAACACAGCAAGTCTCATTCAGCACCAGCTCAAAGCCGACCGGCACTAGCTTTCTGCCTCTTTAAGAGGCGGTCCGAAGTGTTGCCCTACGCGGAAATGGCTACCCGCGCACGTTCTGCGCATGCCAGGAGTCGCGCAGCCGAAGGAATGGCCCCAGAAGGCAAGATGGCGACTCCGCTCGCGGCGAGACGCTCCTCCCAGCATGCCTAGCGGCCGGCCCGGAGACGAGGCCGAGGGATGGGGATCCGGCGGGACCCTGTGAGGCGCCGGGGCTGAGGCGCGGCCGCGGGCCTGGGCGTTGGACGCTCGCAGAGTGCCAAGATGGAGACGTGGCGCTGTGTGAGGAGGGGCTACGGCCGCTGTGTGGCGGGGCGAGGCCGG